CTGAACCTTCTTCTTCTTCCAACAGATCTCACCATTACTGGTTAGGCTGGCTTCAGCAGCTACAAGGGTAAGACGCTTCCAAGCAGCACAGTCTGGTACCATCGTCGACAGTAACTGAAGCCATTTCTTTTTCCATCGTCTAAGTCCATATATTGCTGGTCCACCTACACGTTCAAAATCTTTTCTTATCAATCCAGGTCTTGATTGGCCCACTTCGCTTTTGATGCCATCCATCACACGAAATATGCGACAACTCTTGTGGTGGACGACGAAGAACGTAACCATCGAAGGCTCTGTGATAACATTATTAATGCAAATGGTATTTGAACGAAGATAGATGCGATCATGTGATATTTTATCCGCTCGACGGACCCGTAAAATGTACTTTAGACAAGAGTGGCCAAAGATAGATAGCCTCTTAATATCCTCCAGTCTCATTGGCCATGTCTCAAAGCCATATAAGAAGATCGAACGAATCACGGCTATATAGATGCGGACTTTCGTTTTAAAGGTAATTTCACGATTGCACAAAGGTTTCGTCAAACGGAAGAACACATTTCTAGCTGCCGTGATCCGGGTTATAATGTCTTTTGCTCCTTTCCGTTCGGTATTAGAGTGGATTTGTTCGGTAAAAGGTATTTAAAATCGGGAACTGGCAATGATGAATGAATTTATAAAAAGAGGTATATCAGCTTTTTGCACATATGACGAAAAGACTTTCGTTTTATTTACATTGATCTTAAGCTCGATTCTCGCTGGAGTTGCTGACACCTTATTTAGCATTACTTGCATTTCGTCATAACTCTCAGCAAAAAGGACTACATCATTAGCGTATTCAAGATGTGTGATACGACGCTTTGGACTGATTTGGACACCCCTTGAGTGCCGATAAGTGGTGTCCATTACCCAGTCTATTTTTGAGGCTATTTCACTCCAATAATGATTTCTGTGCCGTCGTGCTGCTTTCGTTGAAAATCTTCGAAACGTCCCGTAGTCAGAATTACCTGACATTCGTGCTCTGGCAGCTTTTTCAAACAGTTGCACAGTTGCTTCCGATATCCAATTACACACACACCTCCGATTAGTATGCCCTAGTGTGGAAGTGGCTGACTGACTTTCGAAGACATTCCTTTAGTTTGGGCCAGCATTCATTTGCCGTTCCAGAAAATTCATTTGTATCACTGAGATTCAGTTTTAAATGCGCTCACTGTCTCCGAATTTGATATAGTTTAAGGATGTTGGAGGACGCTTATTTTTGCGAGTTGTCAACTTTTCCTAGAAATTATAAGTGCATTAAGGAATTGACCTCCATTAAAAAATATGTGACATATAAATTTAAAAAACGAAATTTTCAGGTCGGGATTACTAGTTTAAAGAATACTTTTGGAGAAACATCGCGCCTTATTATAGATGTGTTTCCATCATTGCCCATTTAAAACGCTGTCTCAATACCTTTTATCTTCAATATTTGGTCGGCACATTTGTGTCCAGCTTTAAATCCAGCTTGGTTAGGGCACTGCTTTATACTATTGCATATTTTCTTGACCTTCAGTAGAAGGGTGATGTACTATAAGCTCACTCTTCAAAAGTTGCCACACTCCTAGCTTTTGGAATGATGGTTGTTTTGCTCGAATAGTTTTTTTTTAATATCAAAGATCCTTATAATGTTGAATCGCAAGAGTAAACCTATCCAAAAATCCAACGGTGCATCAATGTTGTGCCTCAATAATTTTTCTAAGTTCATACAAACTGGTAACAGGTAACTCATCACTACCTTGTCACTGATCGTTCACTATCTTATAATTGCTATATGAAAATTTCTTGAAAAATTTTTCATTTGTGGATAAACAATTGTTACATGTATTGGCTGACATAGCAGTATGCTCCATAATAGAAAATTATTGTATACGAAGCGCACTTAAACGATTGGAAAAATCATCAACAATGAGTGCATATATTATTGCATATATTGTGGAGAGTTAAGAGAACAATTTGAATTACCAAATTTGATGAACAAATTTCTACAAGTACGAATAAATCGGAGTGAACCTTTTTCACTCCGATCGAAGTGGTCCGATTTGGGTAAAACAAGATGGTTACAAGGTAAAAAATTGGACCGCTTTATTTACTTACCTTGCCACAGGGGCGATTCACTTGGAACTCGTCGACAACTTGAAAGCAGAAAGTTTTTTACTGCCGCTAAGAAATCTCATCGCAATCAAATTTTTTCCGACGGAGATGGCAAGAATAGGAAACTGTTTCGGCTTCTTCACAAAGCAACTATAACTCGAGAAGGGGCTAGTGAAATGATACGGGATATTAATAGGGCGCTTGTTAAGGCTATTATGGATCGCCAAAGAATTTTTTGACTCATAATTGACCATGATGCGCCATCTGTTGTCCCAGATATAACTGGTTCCTTCGTTTACAACTGCGAACCGCCAACTAGCAGAATGCTGGATTCAAACCGGGACAATTGTGTGACCAAATATTTACGCTAAGAAGTATGCTATGCTGGAACATCGCTTTAAAATGCAGCAATAGACTGTCACTTGCTTTATCGATTTTGCAACTGCCTTCGATTCGATTGATAGAGCTTTAGAAAATGATGGAATGTGAAATTGTTCCAGAGAAGATCATTTGGCTCATAAAGGCATTTTATCAGTATACCTTGGTACATGTCTATATATATGGAGAATTGACTCTTTCGAAATAATAGCCAATGTCCTCAAGGTTGCGTCTTTCTTGGATGATATGCGATAGACTGGATAATGGGCAGCACTCAAGGGGTATCCAAATCAGTCCAAATTGTCGTATCACAGATCTGTAGTCCTTTTTGCTGACAGTTATGACGAAATGCAAGTAATGCTAAATAACGTGTCAGCAACTCCAGCGAGAATTGAATTCAAAATCAATGCAAAGAAAACGAAAGTGCTTTCTTCTTATATGCAAGATGCTGATAAAATACTTATGTTATCAATTCATTGTTGGTTAAGGAAGCGCCCGATTTTAAATATCTTGGATCCACTCTAATTCCAAATGGTCAGGGTGAAGGGTGAAAAGGATGAACTATAACCCGGATGACAGCTAGAAATGTGTTTCCGGCTTTTTCCGGCTTTTTGACGAAATCTTTATGCAACCGTTGCGAAATCACCATAAAGAAGAAAATCCCCGTCCCTATTTGCTCGATCTTGCTATATGGTTGTGAAACATGGCCAATAAGAGTGGGAGATATTAAGAAGCTACCAGTCTTTAACCACTTATAAAATTGCACATGACTGCATCCATCTTACATATCACCTGTATTAATAATGTATTAATAATATTGAACGCCGCCTTCGCTGGTTAGGACACGTTCTCCATCGTCCACTACAAGAGTTGTCGCATATTTCGTTACTTGCTAAGCCATGTGATGGTTGGCGTCAAAGGTGAGGAAGGCCAATCAAGATCTGGACTGGTACAGTCACGAAAAATTTCGAACGTATAGGTGGACCAGCGATATATGGACTTAAATGATGGAAAAAAGAATAGCTCCTATTACTAGTAGCAATGACGCCGGATCGAACAGCTTGGAGAGTTTTACCTTTATAGCTAGCGGAGCCAGCCTAACCAGTAATGGTGTGGAAAATTCCGATAATAATTATATCATAAAATTATACGCGTTTTTCTTGCCGGGTCAATTTTCATCATTTGCTTGGGTCAGTTTTTTCATCGTTTGTTTTAATTATTTTCTAAGATCATTTTTCACCTTTTGATTCATTCTTAGAGTGAGTGTTCAACGTTGGCTTTGTGCGCAGTGGTAGTTTCACGATTTCACGTATCTCATATTTCTTTTTAATTTACTAATATATATATATATATATATATATTTTCGCACGTCGTTTTATTGTATTGCTATCTGGATAATAATAAAATTTTCGAGTGGTTGTAAATCCTAACATCAATTCGTGAAACCATCGACGATTACGTAAGTCATTCTTTGAATTTAACAAAATTTTTCACGACAAATGGTGTGTACTGTTAGAGGAGGAATTATAACGATAAAAATGAAGAATTTTCGTACCATCCTCTACTCCAGCATCTATTGCCATATTCAAAGCCATACTTTTTCATTAATAATGCTCACCACTTCTAGATGGGTTCGCGTCACTTTGCTTGTTGCACCAGAAAAAACTTTATTTTGGAATTATTTGACGAAATACAGGTCTGGTTTCACGACATACAGATCTAATTTTCAGACAGTCGCACTATCTTCCACAACCTAACTACCTTAGTGACATATTCTTAATGTCAATTTCACCGATTTTTGTAGAGAAGCCTTTAGTTACGAGGCACTCATCGTTCCACAAGTGTCACTGATTTTTAGATCATTTCGATATTTCGATAATTCGATTTGGAATGTGATTTGGAATTTGCTGGCCAAAACAATATTTCAGCTCAAAGATTTTAGTCGAAATATTTTGGAAAAATCAAAATAATCTTTCCATAAAACCTTTTTTTGACTTAATGCATTTTGCAGACTTTATTTGTTTTGCTTTTAATAAACCTATTTTCTTTGGCATAGGTAATCCTATTAAAATTTTATTTTTTCTGTTCTTAATAAAACCTTCAAGCCAAAGTGTGAAATTTACCCTTCACGTCTTGTTACTACAGTATTACCATTCAAATATCACGCTTTTTATCTCATTATAACTGCTAATCCCATTAGATCAAATTCAAATTCTTTCCAGAGGTCAACAAATATTCCAGTATAAGAAATAAGCAAACAATGATTGTTTCTTGTATTTCCTTCAATTACCTAAGACATAACACTTAAGATAACAGAGATTAGAAGAAAATATTAAAAAGACAAAAAACATCGAAATCAATTAGATAAGACTAAAAAAACAAAACAAAATGAAGCAACATTCGTTATTATCTGACACCAAATTATCACTATTTAAGGTACTAATTATTTTATAACTATTTTCTAAGACTATATAATAAGATCAAATAACTTCTTAAATTTCTTCTAATAATGAACATCCATCCATTTCCTTTGGTATAGGTAATCCCATTACGTGCAGAACCGTAGGTGCAACATCACATAAAGCCATTTCGCGGTCACTCAAAGAATGCTTGAATTTGAATTTTGAAGAACAGCAAGTAAATGGTACTGAAATTGTATAAAAACTAAAGTGTATATAAGCTATATATAAACTATAAACTATGTAAACTATATATAAACTAAAGTATGAAAAAAAAAGAAAAATTAAATATATAGCGCACCCTTTCAAACAAAGTGGATCTGTATGGAAATTGATACGGAATAAAAAAGCACATAAGCTGATTTTTTTTGCAAGGTTTATAAATTAAAAAGAAAAGAGGGAAGTCAGAAGAACATGGAAAATCAACCTTTATTACAAGTATGAGCTGTATGTTTGCTACCATCTGGAGCTATCATTTTTTCCGCATTTCCGTGATCAGCAGTTACCATTAGAACATACCCATTTTCTTGACATGCCTTGTATATTCTACCAATGGCAAGATCTAGACTTCATGTATTTAAAAAATAATAATAAAAATATCTGAATTAATTAAAATTTTATTAGCTAAACTTTTGAATAAGTTAAATTTTTAACTTAAAAATTTATTCTACCAGTTGCTTCGCATGCTTTAATAGCTGCATCATAAACACCAGTATGGCCAACCATATCAGGAGGAGCAAAATTGCACATAATGAATGGATGTTTCTTGATATTCAACTGTTCAACCATCTATTAAAAATAATCTTGAATTTATAACTATATCTTCAAAGAACTGATAAACACTAGCATTTCAATGTACACAATCTGGTTTAAAATCAGAAAGAAAATAAATCAACTAGAAAAAGAATAGGGGATAAGATGGCTCAGTGGGTTTCTGGTCAATTCGTAGAGCCAATACTGAGATTCTATTCCTCACAGGAATGAACCTGTCCAGAAATCCGGGTGATGCTAGCGACTTACCTGCACTTCTATCCAAAGGACTCCCTGGCATATTGTCCAATGTGACAAGCCAGCGAAACGAGTTCAACCAGTAATGGTGAGGACTTTTAAAAAAAAAGAAAAACCTAACGTTGGAACAAGACTGGTACATTGGAAAAATAACCTTATCTGCCACACCTGCTGAACTCATCGGAGGTAGTAAATCATATGTTGCCACCTTTGGCGAAGGAACTAAACAACGTTCTTCATTTTCAAATTGTCGTTCTACACCACCATTAAAGAAGAACGTTACATGTGCATATTTCTCTGTTTCTAAACGGCAATAAAATTTTCTTTAATTTTCTTTTCAAATTTTCTTTTTAAATTAAAAAGAACAATTTAGTTTTACTTTTATAATATAAAATGACCTTAAAACTATAATAAACAGAAAAAAACCAATGTTATGCGACAAGGTACTTTAAGGCAGCAAGGAAAATTTAAGTGAACCTGATCTTCGAAAATTTACCTGCACAATGGAACTGAGAAAGACCTTGAGCAGCTAACCATTCAGCCAAAACATTGACATGGGTTTCTGGAGGGAAAAGAGATGGAAAAATAAATTCGGCTTTGTACTGTGTCATTCCAATTACTTTCTATAAAAACAAACTAATCAAAAAATAAACTGCGTATATAACTGTGTTCCTAATAGAATTAATTTCGAAAAACAGCGGACCGCACCATATTCTTTGGATGTGGAACATCTGAATCAAGATCTTTATAGCGTTCCATACCAACACATTCAGTAATTTCACGCATACGATCAGCTCGATAATCAAAGAATATTATAGTATCATTTTCTAAAAAACATTTATTATTTTCCCAGATTTTTAAACTTATTTTTAGCTTGTTTGGGCAACAACTGCTTATTTGTTTAGTATTTCTTGCACCATATCTTGTAAGGCTATCCCAAAGATGCAAGTGCGATTATAAATTTTGCTGAAGAGTCATTTGGCGATAAAACATGATCGCCAGAAATTAATTTGTCGTCAGAAGCATGGCACAAATCCTTGCCATTTTTAAAATATAATTAATCTTATGTTGGTAATAAATCAAAATAATATATCTAGAATTAATGAAAAATGGGTTGACTTGGGCGAGGATCGATAGATTTTAAAATCCTTGTTGGATTTTTATCGAATCAACTGAATCACATATGAGTTAATGAAATTCTAAAAAATCTGAATTTTACAAGCTCTTGCTCAAGATAAACGCTTTGCCACTTCTAATCTCAAATTTTTCCATTTTAACAAATATTTCGAGTTCAACTGAATGCCGATTTGCCTTATATAACGATTAATGAAATTTCTTTCTGAGAAATGCTGCGAGCCGCGATATTGTTTAGTATAATCCAAAATGGGTAAATTTTTAATTTTTGAAAAGTTGTTTAAGAGATAAATAAAAGCATGAATAAAGATAAACAAATAAAAACATGCTACAGAGGGTCTAAAATTAATAAAGCTTAATGAAAAAAAATTTTAATAATATTTCGAACTATGAGATTAATAAACCTTTGAAACGGCCTTCGCTGTTCAAAATTATTGGTTTCAAAAATTCATCAGTTTCATCGATTGCATAACGACTTTTTATAACATCTATTACCTTATTAATATGCGATTTTTCGCCAATCCCTCCGATAAGAGCATCATAAGCAACCTTAAAAATTAACGACATTTTACAAATCTATGCACCATCTTAGAAATATAACTTGAATTAAATACTTGTGAAAAAATTCATGCCAAAATGATAAATTTGACAAATTTCTTTTTTATTGAAACGAACTCGTATACGCTCCCAGCGTTTATCTCGATCCATAGCGTAATAACGACCAACAACTGTAGATATTTCCCCATAATTTTCGTTTTTAACATAATCCAATAGTTGTTGAAGGAAATTAACTGGAATAATAGTTATCAACGCTTTAGAAATCATTTATAAATTTTACATACAGAATCCATTTTTATTAGTTGACAGAGATTTTTTTCACCATTTCCGAATACTCATCAAAATGAAATGAATGATGAAAAAAAGAACACTTTTATTATCAACGGGACAACAGATTAAATTTTTTGGTCGGTATCCTGGTTCTAAACAATTTACGAAAAAATACCGCCACTTGTTGGGCTTGTATCTCTACCGTCTCCAAAGAAATGAATAAATAATTTTGGAACAGCAAGCTGCTTCAAAGCAGTTATAAGAGCAAATAAATGATCTATATGTGAATGAACGCCTCCATCGCTAACCTGAAACATGTGCCAGATCCAAATTAAATTCTTATAAAAGAAAAAAAAACCAAAAAAACTAATGAAATTTATGGAATGCATATTTAAAATTAAAATAAATAGCAAAATATAGGTATATCAATATCAAAACACAAGTTTTAATAGACTGCGACTTGAAATATGGCCTTTTATCACAAAAACTAACCAAACCAGCCAGATGAATTCTACCATTACCATTCTTCGCCCTTTCAGATGCTTTTCTGAGCGCAGGATTGTCCACTAATGTTTTATTTTTTATTGCCATGTTGATACGAACTATATCCTGAAAATTGTTGCAATAATATCTAAGAGGAATATTCAAATTAATCAAAAAAATTAATTAAATAGAAGAATATGCGAAAAAATTATTCATCTCATTTCATCAGCTTGCTTTCAATCAGTAACTTATCGACCTGATATATGACGCGCCCGGCACCAATATTTAAATGTCCAACTTCGGAATTTCCCATTAAACCTTCCGGTAAGCCCACATGCAAACCATGTGCTTCGATTTGTTGCCAACTATGCGGCGAAGTGTTTGAGCATAACTGGTCCATGATAGGTGTTTTTGCATTTAATATAGCATTACCTAAAAATAGGAAAAAAATTCATAATAAAACAAAGTAAAAGGAAAAAAGGAAGGTAAAAAAAGGAAAAGTAAATCTCATTCAATAATTTAAAAAAAACAAAAACAAAGGGAAGAATTTGAAAAAAATTCTAAAATTTCAATTATTCAAAAAACAAATCGATAGGTGCACAGCTACCGATGTTTGATTTTTTTTCCTAAATTCGTTCAGCAATTCTAATTACAAATGGGTTACCAGCACCTTTTCAAAAACAAGCTTATCTCTGTAAAAGTAAACCCTCACATTAATGTGCATGATTTTAAATACTTCAGATTCATTTTCATAAAGAAATACGAAATTCCAATTTGGACAGGTGCAGATACAAATGCTTTCTTAGGTGAAACCTCTTTGCAATTGCCGAGAAATTGGCCTCAAAACGAAAGTTTACATAAGTGCAAATGATCTTTATCTGTTATATCTGTGTATTTTTAATATTCATCTATAAGCACAATCTACTACAAGTTTAAGAAACACAACAAAAAAATATGTGTAAAAGAAGGCAAAGGATGCTATTAACTTTTCACCTGCATAAGATTACATACTAGCCGTCTGGATAAAATCTCATATATATGCCTTCGATCTTATATTACATGTGTCGATTTGTAAAATAACGCCTACTAGGTTGATTGATTAGGCTAAATTCTTTGTTACCCACCTCAAGGACCAATACATATCTCATTACATGCAAAACCATGTTGCATTACTATGAGACGATAGAGAGAGGTAGGTAATCCAACAATGCATAGATTTAGACAGTGAAAAATAATTCATTTTTGGGCATAATATTGGATCTGAAAATTTGATAAAATACTCTAGTTGGCAATGAAGCTAACCAAATTGGCAACGTTGACAGCTGTTATAAGAAGCAGATCACTAGCTCCTTAAAATTTGCATTAAATTATTTGGGAATAAATTTCGTGATTTGAAAATAGACCAAAACTCATTCGTTTTGAAGCATATCTATTAAATAGCAATTCGCACGCAAATAAATTAAAGATTAGTAAACACGTAAAAGATGTAAATAAGAATCAATCATATTCCAGTATACGCATATGCTACCAATTCATTGTATTTTTTGGCTATCTTGTATTATCATGTAGGTGGATATACACCGAACTTCGTCATTATTCACAGCTAACACAAATTTACTAATATAGCACAGTTCTTTCATCAATTTTCAGTAGTTCAACCTTTAGACAGATTTAGACGAGTTAATAAAATCATTGTTACTGGAAAAATGACGGGTCTTAATTCCAAAAATACGATTTCTCAACAGTTTTTCATATTTTGGTTTAACATTAACATACTTCTTGAAAGATAATTTTTCACGATGAAACGGTAACATATATATATATATATATAAATTCACATATACACATATTAGAATACGATCCATTCTTTACTTATTTATATTTATTTACTTACTCATTTCTATCATTCATACACGATGATTTTTAAATGAATACCATGTATGCGCTTCAAAACGATTGAGTTTTAAAGTAATGCAAGAAAACGGTGTACTTTTATAAACGATGAAATTACTACTTCATTATCTGCAAATGTTAAGAAGCTATATGCGAATATTAAATATACGAAATGCACTGGAAATATTATGAAATTACGACAAATGTCACACAAGAGAACAAAAATAAAATGTTTGAAAAATATATAAAAATAAACATAAAATAAATATAAAATAAAATTTTGATAAATAAATCTGGAATGCAAAAAAAAGTTATAAAAATAGAAGTTATATTATATAAAAGTTATGAAGATAGCTAACCAAAATTAGAATTTGAAATACCCCATCCATCAATAACAACCAAACAAACGTTATTTTTCACTTTGTCGGCCATTGCTTTTATGGGCTTATCAGCGTATTCTGCAAGCAAATCACCGATAGTTAAGTGCAAAAATATTTTTGGAGGTGCCAAATCCATGGACCCAGCAACTGAATATGAGAAATCAAGCCAACGAAAGAACGATTAAAACGACAGCAATCCAAACTGCAACCCTCGAGTCCGCAGTTCTTATATTAGGAAAGTAGCGAAGGTTTTTCGGGAAATATACACCGCTCTGAGGATATAATGAGGCCTGAGGGAGTTAATGGAAATAAAATATAATCTGAGACACTTCAGAGAACACAAGAGAATTTAACTAGGAATTAATTAACTGATGCGATGAAGCGAGCGGTTATTGCTCACATTACCGCATCGGACGTCAAGTCACCTCCAATCCTTTCCTCCACGTCCTTCTGTCTAAAGCTCCCAACAAACCACCTCATAAAAACTCCTTTTCAATAAAAAATAATTGTGATATCGTAGAAATTTTTCGCTTCAAAACCACTTCAATTTTAAATAATTCGATTTTTAACAGCTCTGCAATTAATTCAATTCTCAGTTATAAAATCCCATCTCAAGAATAGTTGAACATCGTAAAATGTGCAGTTAACTGAGTGGTTAAAGTAATGAGGAAATTTGAACGAATATTAAATGCATTATGAAATGGTGCAAAAATTGGTTAATGCGGTGTTTGAGGAATATAATTGGTGAATTTGTTTAATTAACACAGCGAGTGGTAAAAACGTACGTTTTCAGATCGCATTTTAAAGACAATTGGCACATTATATTATTAGGTGAAAAGGTGAAAAGACTGTCCTGAATGTGGCGAGAGTTGTTTGGGAACCTAAGCATATGATGCGTGACCCCCTTCCTGCAGGTTTCGTTGTACTTCTCCTTGGTTTGCTTTAAAGTGCAGCTAAAATGTTTCAAACCTCGCCAAATGTACGCTGTCGCCGAATGGCGAAGACAACTGCAAAGATAGGCAAGTCATCCACATCGTATCTGCTACATGTCTCTTTCGCAGCCAGAATATTGAGAAAACAAGAGTCGGAGAAGAGATATTAGAAAATATCAGAGAACGATGGTCGAGTTCTCATAAGTGAGGGATATAACGATATCTTCTGTTTGAAAGAACAGAAAACAAACACGAATCTTCCCTCCACCCATGTCATAACGAATATAAGCACCCAAGAGACCGATTTGGCCATTTTTGCCATTTTATTTTGGGTAAAGGGAAGGTGAAAGTGGGGAGGAGACAAATTCGGGGAATGAGTTAGGGACCTGGGGAGCATCGGCTGGGAATGTTCTCGTCGATGTCATCCTCGTCGTAATCGCTGTCGTCTTCGTTCTTGCATGGATAATAATACCGAAGATATCCATCTTTCAAAGATATTGTTCAAGGTCATGTATGTGTTATAGGATTTGTTAAATGTTTTATGAATTTTTCTGTTTTTATGTTTTTGTGTATAAATGTATATATGTTAAATAAACGGTTTAATTACCACAGTTTGAGGGTCCAATACATACAAGAACGTTGGCCGGAGAACATATAGCAATTCTGTCAGTGAAAAATATATCGTGGCACGAAGTAAAAGTCTATACATACTGTATATACACGTGGAGCGGATTCCCGAAAAAATATTTACTGGAAGTAGGAATCGCTGAGATCTACCCAAGTATTTTCTGCACCCACATCATTCCCACAACATTTTCGGTTAACTTCTCCTTTCCTTTCGTCCCTCTTGATTACATAGTCAGTACTACTTAGTCTTTCAATACTAAACTAAAACTAAAATTAGTAAAGACTAGTTAACTACTAAAACTCAGTACTAAAACTCCTCGTCGATTTTACAATTTTTACTGCGGTTTGCGAGATTTGATGATGCAGTAAAGGAACATAAGGTTGGTCCATGTCCATTCGTGTTGATAGGCTCAAGGTTGAGTGTTTCCACGTTTCGTCCAAAATAGATAACAAATTATTTAGGTGAAAAAAAGTTGGATTGTTTTCCGCTTCCAATAAGTAAATTAAAACAACTATTGACATATCAACGGTTTCGAAAATTAAGCAGGATTTGCACAACTTCTACATGGCTTTATTCATTACTACGCCCGACGAGACCCGTTCGAACCGCTTGCAATCGAAATCCCTCAATTCAGAGATATGAAAACAATCCAATCTTTATTTTTATACAATCTTTATTTTTAAAAATCAAAAAACCCTAAAATGTTTCTAAACAAAAATTTTTGAATTCTAAGGATAACTTAAAAATTTTTTAAAAATCGTAAAATTTTAGAAATTGAGGCGAACGGCATTAGTTCAATCTTCTGCTAAATGATGTATTGAGACACGTAGTGTTTTGTTTAAAAAGTGTTTTATTTTTGGCTTAAAAACTATTTTGCTGTAATATATAAGATTCCTATACATACAATCTGCTGATGCATTTGAACACATCTTAAACGGGTATAGATGAATGTCGCATCGTAATCGCAGTTTAATGCTATAATTAATAAGATTCACGTGAACAATTGACTAGGATAATTTTTAAAAAATAAATTTTAAAGATAGTTATTTGTAATTTTTTTCTGAAATTTCCTGAAATTCTGGAATTCTATATAACACGCAGTGCCGAAACACACTTCAATACTGTCGTTTCGATATATTCTCCATATTCTTTCAAAATGTAACATGAAAACAAAAAAGTGCAATGGTACTACATTCTTAAAATTTTATAACAGTTGTTATTATGAAATAAAACCTTAAATAAAACCTTTTACTTCCACAAATCAAAAGAATTAAAAAAGTTAAGTAATTATTTTAATCAAATATTTTCCAAACTTTACTAACCATTCTTTAATCAAAAAAATTAATCGCCTAATGTAAAGCAATTTGAAAACTTCAATAAAGCTAAAAGAAAACTCGAGTAATATTATAGATTTAGAAAAATTACAATAAATAATCAGTGATTTAAAAAGATAAATGCGACTGGAAAACACTGGAAAAAAATCTTAAAAAATCAAGATTTTTACTGACTTCTTAATGAAAAAAAATTACCAGTTGACTGTCCATTGAACCAATGCACTTACCGGAGAACTAAAAACCGCCAAATCTGTTTCGAATCAGTGTTCATCTATAATAATTTGAAATAACTACTTGTAACTAAAGACTATGACTAGGAAATTACAATTACTGTGCAAAAAAAACAAAATGAAAAAACTACAAAATTTCAAATTCATCAGACATCGATACGATACCATTAAAAAAATGGTAAATAGAAGACCATTTGAAAGACACGCATAACGAAAAATAAAAAAAAAGCTAAAGAAACTGAGATTTTTAATTTAGCTGATTCCTAATAAATACATACAGATATAAACAACGAAAAGAACCATATCTATAAAAAAAATGCATTAAATATAGCTGCAATAAGAAGCTACAATTGAATACTAAAATTAAAAACGACAATTTATTATATTGACCTAAATTTTGCGATGCTGTTGGAACACGGACGAATTATACTTTTGTATCATATTCGATTATTCCCATGTAAATATGCGAAAAATGCAAAGGTAGAACAAATACAGACGAGAAAACACGAAAAAAATGGATAAAAAAAAATTAAAAATAAAATTTTTATAAAGAATACATCAGTATTTGTATATGATCAACAATTAATTTGGTGACCCAGCGCAACTAAAAGTCCACTGCGACTATGGTAAACTTATGACAACCAAGGCCACGAGCCACATAACTTTTCTTAATGAAAGAATATACAAAAAATTAGCCAAAAAAGCTGGAGCAAATCCTTTATTATTCAACTTTTAGAGTCACATATGAGATACTGGGATAGAATAGCTGAGTGGGTTGTTGCTCAATTACGCCGATGCTGAGGTTCGATTCCCCGCGGGAGCAAACCTGGATGGTATGCTGGCAACTCACCTGTATTTCTATTGCCAAGGGACTCCCTGGCTTATTGTCCAATGCAACAAGCCAGTGGAGCAAGTCTAGCCAGCAATGGTGATGACTCTTTAAAAAAAAAACATGGGATGCTGAGGAAATGGATATATAGCATCCTCTCCTTGCATCACCTTCCACATCTCTCTTCCCTCACTTTTATTTTTCACAGCTCAATATGTGACCATCTTCAATAATTTAAATATAAAAAAACTGTTGCTATTATTGAGAGACCACAAAAATTTTATCTAAAATTCGAAGCGGTTTATCATTTAGTGGGCTTTTTTAACTCAACTTTTTCCCAAACCAAAGAATCACTTCACTGATCTCGTAAATCACTACTGTAATGCTAACTAAGACCCAAGGAATAAAACAGCGAAAACTTTGTTTGAAGTAAATCCAACTGAACTTAAAAATCTCCAATTAAAAACAAACTCAAAGAATTTCGATCCTATCTAAACTTACAAGCCGCATCCTGGATTTATAGAGATCACAGACACTATAGCAAAATTTGTATATAAATAGATGGCATAGCTGAATGATGTTACGTTATAAATGCATTGAGCTGCCATATTTAATATCATTCACCCGTAATTTAATGGACACAAGCATTTGCCGCGCACTGCCCACAAAAATTGTTTCCAATCTCCTTTCCTCCAAAGTTCGAGACTAAAAAAATTTTTTTTCAACAAATCATTATACCTTATTTTTGATTTGGCTTTATCAAAACCCCTTTACTTGAAATTTATTGGCAGATATATGTATATGTATCTCTATTACCATCAATGTTTCACTCTCTCAATTCCAGTGGCAGGATTAAACCTATCATGCCAATATGTACTTATTTTCTTGCAAACTGAACTTACTCAGTTACAATTAATATCAAGCAATAACTAAATAATACTGAAATTATATGAATTATATGAATTCACCCAATTCCTTTGGATTTTTTTTGAGGGATAAATTAAATTTTATTTTAAATTCTAACAATACCTATGGTCAACACCATTGAAGCGTTCGGCTACCGATATAGTTGGACCAAGATCAGCAAATAAAAGAGTTCGACCACTCAGTTCAGATATGAAATTTATTTCATTTGTCCTAAAAAATAGATGAAACCTAACACCATTATTTAATCAATAAATATAAGTCAAAAATTTTTAAAATATTTCAACTTCTATCCAAAATGATAGTTTTCTTTAGCAGAACCCAAGGTAAACTCATTTGAAAATCGAAAAATTTCATTAGATTTCAGAAATCAATCAAGACCTTCTAGAATTGAAACAAAATGTATGGTTAATTTCTGCAGCAAGTTGCAGAAGATCAGTGATATTTGCAACACTACAAACTTGAAAATCTTCACGGTTCATTACCGATGATAAACCATTTTCAGTCTGAAACATGAAAATAATAAACAGATTTAGAAAAATCCAAAAACGTAAAACTAAAAAAAGCGAATAAGCCAAAAAGCAGAAAATTCAAACTGATAAAAGCTAATAAACCTTGGAAGCGCCAAGATGAGTACTTGCTTCTCGACTGAATTGAAAATCACCTGCATTTATGCTGTTCTAAAAAAGCATACACAATTATTTAAAAAATCCCTTTCTCATCCTCTGTGGATAGTACGCATCATCCTCAATATCCAGTCTTCAGCTTGAGAGTTATGATCAACATCTTAGATGTATTTAGCAGTGTGCACTTTTGGAAAGAGGTCTCTGAAGCTGTTTCTGGAATTTGTTGAGGTCACTTTTTTAATTCACGACTAGAGTCGCTCGTGCTCTTATTATCACTGGGACTGTGGCCTTTACTTTCCACATTTTTAGTTTCACCCTGAAGTATTTGTCTAACTTCTCATATCTCTTCATCTTGACGTTTCTGTCACTTAGTATTTTTATATCTATTACGGGTGCTGACATTTTGTTTTTATCTATTACCACGATATTCGGTTGATTGGTCAGTATTTGTTTATCGGCCCGGATGGAGAAGCTCCACAGGAAAAAGAGATAGTATCTTTGTCTTATCATTTTCTAACTTTCTGGGGGATCATTATCTAAGCTATATACTTGGTTATGCCTTTCAGGACATGCTGTACACAGCTGCATTTCATTTTTATCGCCATATGTTGCACAGCTTCTAATATATTTTTGCAAAGCTTACACTTTGAATTCTGTAATGGCAGATCCTTGCTTCAACTAACCTGATGCTGATGTCCCAATACCAATGCTCTTCTTTTAGTTCAGTTTTTTCTAAATATTAGTAAGATTTCTCAATATCTGCCACCTCAGCTATCTAGCGATGGTACATTCTATGGGAAATTTTGCTTTGCCACGGTACTATTCTCTGATTTCTGTTTGGTTTGGCTTTTCTTCAATGGTTCCTGATGCTTTCTCTCAGCAACTCAATATTTGGTGACTTCTTGCAGATATATTCCTGAATGCTTCAAGCTTGTTCAAGTGGCTTTGATACTCATTAAGTCCCACACGCATTCTTTCCAACTGGTGTACAATCTTTAAATGTTAAGATTTCGTGGTGGAAATGGTTCCGGCCAGTATAATTTATGGATCTCCATGTCAGCAGCATCCTTGGCCACATCTTTTATTATATTTCACTTTGCCAGCTATATCAGATGGCTGGCAGGATGTGGGTGTTTATGGCAAGAACCTTGTTTTTTCCCAATTCTTCATGATCTATCTTATTCTTTGATAGAGATTCAACGTGCAATATGCGTAAAAAAGCCTCAGAAACTGCTAACACACAGAGGTAAGATGCAGAGAGAAAATACGCATAACTAAAGCATAACTAAATATCTGGTATAAATAGCTGGTATTACCTATAAGAATATCTGAAAAAAAATATAGAAATAAGAATGATTGGTTGGAAATTTGGAGCCTCCCAAGACCAAATGGAATAAGGCCAAGATCTTGGGATTTCACCATTCAGATAAACAAACAAGTATTAGCCAATCAACCAGATAATCGTGTTATATCGTGCTAACAGATAAGAAGAAAAAACCAACAGTTGTGATATAGTAAGACCAAGTGCCATGAACTTAAGAAGAATATGAGAAGCTGGAGAAAGCTTGAAATTTGTTCCTGAAATCAGAGATGTGGAAAGTAGTATGAAAGTGATCTCAAAGGTAGTAGGAGCATTCGGAGCTGCGATCCCAAAACTGGAAAAGTAACTCCAATAGATTCCAGGAACAAAAGATGGAGGATAGATAGAATCATAGATTTCTGCTCAGAAGAACGCACTGCTAAGAACAGCTAAGATATCATGCAGAACGCTTGACCTCCAGGAGGACTCGAGGGTCATGATCACCAATACCAGCCATAGGGAGTTAGAAGATGGCAAGAGCCATTCCTAACCCAGAGTCTCCTATCAGAGGCCTGGGATTATATTTATATATATTAAATTTATTTATATTTATATTTTATTATAAACTGTTGTTATATTTTATGAAAAAAATTGTATTAAACTCTTTGATAACTCTATTCTTTGATAAAACAATAATGATCAGTGGCTAGATTTTCTTTTCAAATTTTTCATTTGTCTGCGCGAAAGTCGCCAAACGGCGAACACAAAAGCTATTGAGGTCGTAAATCGAGGAGTTTCCAGTTTCCAACAACTATTATCAAAGATCAACAAGGATCAATTAACAAAAAGAAATTTTATAAAATTTATAAGATAATTTTCAGCAAAATGTTTGGTGACAAAATGGTTACCAAAAGGGTATCGAATAACAGTGAAAAACAACGAATAGAAAAGGCACTAATAACTATGGAAAAAAGGAATATTGGCAATTTTCGAGTATTATTAATATATGCAATTGAACATCATAATCGACTTAATCCTTCCCAAGAGATATCTTAAAAAAATACTGAAAATCACTAGCACTACACCTTCAAAAATTTTGGGACATTTGGCAAGATTATCTCAATATTCAACATACTGAGATAAAACACTAATCGTTGCCACAATCTACACTCTCTATGTCCTCTACCAGAGGCCTACAATCAGTAGAATTCCAGAAGTAAATGAAACCGTATTAATTCAAATGAAACCAAAATATGAACTGACATAAACAACTGAACAATTGAACGATATCAACAAATTCAAAACTGCTACAATTAAACCCACAAAAGGAAGGGAAATTATAGAGTATAAAGTTATATATGTGTCATCTGTACCTCTTGGAAGTCACAAGCAAAAGAAAATACTTTATATGAATCAGATGTCAAATTCCGCGAAAAACTTCAAACAAATACCGCACATAATATATCGGCATGACCCTTCTTGAATTACTTGGATCTTTAAAAATTTGAATCATTCAACAATCCAATTCCATCACTATAACTCATATCCAAACGAGCGATTGACAAAAATTTTGTAATTATGCGATGGTTAATTCATCATTTAATTTTCGTCATTTCCTATTTGATATCAGTCGTACTGAATAACTAACCCTTCAATTATTCATCTACTACAATAAAGGATCTAGAAAATATTTATAACTGTCATTCTCTTCGAAGATGAAGAAGATGATACGATCAGATTCATCATTCATTCTTATATTTTAATTTCTATATTTAATATTTTAATACAATATATTTTAATTTTAATTAATAATAATTAATTATAATTAATAATTAATTATATTTTAAATATTTTAATTTTTATGTTTTAATTATGAATTGGTTAAACTAATTTGTTTTTATTTTTATTATTGTATTGTTTTCATCACTACCATCTTTATTATTTTATTATTATTTATAAATTATTATTAGTTTACCTATTGTGTACCTATTCAATTTTATAATTTTTTGTAAGTCCCTTGTGCAATTTAATCATAAGGCTAAATTACCCAAAAATAAACATTTAATTTTACCCTGTTTATAAAAATTCGCTACCGGCTTGACAATTTGAAATAATTTTTACAGCTGGGGAGACTATATTCTTCTCCAAGGTTTTTTTTAAAGAGTCCTCGCCGCAACTGGTTAAACTTGCTCCGCTTGTCACAATGAACAAATATGCCAGTGAGTTCCTTGGCAGCAGAAGTGTAGGAGAGTCGACAATATCACCCATATTTTTGGACATCCCCCAGGGAATAGAATCAGCGCTGCGAAATGAGCAACCCACTGAGCCATTGTATCCCCTATCCCCTATCCAGTCATTTAATTAATGAATAAACCATCAACCATCTTACTCTTAATAAAAATTTAATAAAAAAGAAAAATCTTAAAGAACCAGGACTACAAATTTTAAAACTATAAAATATTGCTTAGAATAAGTTTCTGAAATTTCACTGATTTATAAAAAGTCTGCTGAATTAAAATTGAAATTCTTTGGATGGATTCGAACTTAGTTACAGAATTAAAAGGGTTTTCAAAGATTACAAATTTATAAAAAAAATAATTCTTAATTAATCTAATGAAATTTGACAGAAATGTACCGATGTAAAAATATCTTCAACTTGATTTGCCTCAAACAGATATGATGATCGCGCCGTTGCTTCTCGAACAAATTTATCCAAAATTTGCTCTTGCGATGAACTTGGCATAAATTCAAAAGCAGTATTTCCAGCTGCTATTAAAGTAATTATCAGTTGCAAATATAAATAAAGTTATCCTTTTTCATTTTATAATTTTCATTTATTAAAAATTAATTTATGTGAAATTGAAATTACAGGCCTTCGACAGAAGAAGAAATAATATTTGTTATCCATAAACTTAAGGCCAATAACTCCGGAAGGAGATTGTCTTCGGGTTGAACTCTTTAAATGTTGTCCATTGTCCTTCATAACGCACCTTCAACAAATGTACTCCCTGGTATGTAAAAAATAAATATTACCAGATAATTGGAGCAAAGCAATTCTGCTCCCGATTCCCAGGAAGAATGATAGGATATACTGCGACAATTATCGAAGGATCAGCCTATTAGACGTTTCAGCGAACATCTTTGCTTCCCCTTAATTCAACAGACTTATGGAAATACAGCAGGATGCGCCCTAATTAAGCTGGATTCAGACCAGGGCACGGTTGTGCTGACCAGATATTCACATTCAGAAGGGTGTTGAAATATCGCTATTTGCGACCCACTGCCATGTGTTTCATTGACTTTGCGGCTGCTTTTGATTCAATTAATAGACACTTTGGAGGATGATGGAATGCTACGGTGCTCCAGAGAAGATCATTCGACTCATAAAGGAATTTTATGAGCGCACGTCGGTGCAGGTCTGTGTATATGGGGAGTTCACAGATTCCTTCGAAATAAGAACTGGTGTCAGTCAGGGCTGTCCCCTTTCCCTTTATGCGATAGACTGGATAATGGACATTGTCTGTCGGCACTCAAGAGGTGTCCAAATCAGTCCAGTGCATCGTATCACAGATTTTGAATACGCTGATGACGTAGTCCTGTTTGCTGGCAGTTATGATGTTATGATGAAATGCAAACAATGCTAAATAACGTGCCAGCAACTCCAGCGAGAATCGAATTTAAGATCAATGTAAATAAAACGAAAGTCTTTCCGTCTTATGTGCAAGAAACTGATATACCTCTTTCTATAAATTCATTGCCAGTTGAGAAAGTGCCCGATTTTAAATACCTTATACGAACAAGTCCACTCTAATACCGAACGGTTAGACAAAAGACATTATAACCCGGATCAAGGCAGCTAGAAATGTGTTCTTCCGGTTGACGAAACCTTTGTGCAGCCGTCGTGAAATTACGAAAGTCCGCATCTATATAGCCATGATTCGTTCGATCTTCTTATATGGCTCTGAGACATGGTCAAAGACTGGAGGATATTAAAAAGCTATCTATCTTTGACCACTCTTGTCTAAAGTACATTTTAAGTGTCCGTCGATAAATATCATATGATAGCATCCATTTTCATTTAAATACCACTTAATAATGTTATCACAGAGCGTCATCTTCGGTGGTTATGTTCTTCGTCGTCCACCACAAGAATTGTCGCATATTTCGTGTAATGGATGGCATCAAAAGCGAAGTGGACCAATCAAGACCTGGACTGATAAGAAAAGATTTTGAGCGTATAGATTTTGAGCGAGGTGAACCAGCAATATATGGACTTAGACAAAGGAAAAAGAAATGGCTTCAGTTACTGTCGACGATGGTACCAAACTGTGCTGCTTGGAAGCGTCTTACCCTTGTAGCTGCTGAAGCCAGCCTAACCAGTAATAGTGAGAGCTAATAGAAGAAATTTGTGATACGCAGAAATGCTTGAAAATCTTCTGATAATAAAAATAAATCGTATTTAATAATCTGAATTTTATTTTTCAATATTTCTCATTAAAAAAACTGAAAAGTTGTTTCGAATAAATTTCACCAATTATAAGGATTAATTTCCAGTATCACCCATAATTTCTAATTTGTTTAGTCCTACTTACAGTAGGACCCTTTTGTCAGAGAATGTACTTGATGATAGTACAGAGATTCCCCCTATTACCACTCTGATTTCAAAAATGTACTTCTATCAACGAATAAAAATTGAACCCATAATGCCTCTCGATTGAAGCAAAATAATAAACAATCACCGTGCCCTTTCCTCTACAGTTAAAAAACGAAAAATATAAAAAATAAGGGATACTATTGAAAAATTGATTAAATTGTTGAATTGTTAACAACTAATTAAAATGGAACAAAAGAATGTTTTATTTAAAATTGAAAATAATAAAATTACTAACAGTAATTTCGTGGAACATAATGTGGATTTTTAGTTGTATGATCATGTTCACCACTTGCATTCAAACTAATTCGTTCTTTGTCGTAAAACATTGCAAACATACGAAAATTGCAATTCGTTCGACGCCAGTTATTACACCGATAGAAAACTTTTACACCATTCGCTTGTTGAACACTTTTACGCTTTGAAACTTTTTCTCGTTTACGAACCTCGTTCATTTCTGCTTCTGATGTGAACCAACCAACGTTACGCCATTCACGCTTCATTTTATGACCTTAATTACATTTTAAAGTTACCAGTTATACCAAACTGAGAGATGATTTTCAATCAAATGCCCAGTAGCGATTGGCTAGGAAACAATAGAGCCAGAAAAGCAATAAGCAAGTTAATGGTGGCAAAAGAAAAAAGAGAGTATATACGAAAGAATATAAAAAATTAAATGAAGAAAGGTAGTGAAGTATAAAAGAAAGAAGAGTAAATACCTGGATAAGTTGGGACTTCGGTGGTTTGAAACGGAAGATTATTTGCAAAATTAGCTGAAGTTGCACTATTTATATTTATATTTAAATTGTTGATGGCTTGAGTTGCATTATCTGCACTAGCAGCAACATTTGTATTACTCGCCCTATCGAATTGTAGCATCATAACTTGTTGCGAAGATGAGTTAACGAGACTGTAATCGACTAATGCTTCATTATCTCCCTCTTCCTGTTCATCTTCATTTTCATCATTTCTTGTCGACAATACTGTTAAAAAATTTGAATTAGTCGTAAAATCGCTTAATAATTTACTACATTGATTTACTTCACTGCTAGCAAATAAATTAACATCAGCGATATTTACACTTTGCAGATGAATTGCATCCATCCTGCTTCTTCGAATCACCTGCAATGCATTTTACCTGAAAATAATAATTTACTTATTTAAATAATTTATCAATCAAAACAGAGTGTAGAAGTCGAATGGCTATTCCACAATTACCATTCCGAGTATTATCAATATTCGATCCTGGCAGACCTGACGGAAAAGGATTCACGTTGGTGGGAAGCCATCTGAACTTCCATCCTCAAGTGACTCTCTGATAAAATATTTAAAATAGCACTTTCTCAACTGATAATGGACTTATAAAAATTCCTGGAAAATCTAAAAGAAAGATGACGAAAAGTCTTCACAATGATCTGAATCCCAACTTTCGTTGCAGTTATCGATTTATAAATCAATTATAAGTCAGCACAATTAATCACCACAACCAACATATTCAAGATCCATGATATTATACCCAGGATATTATACCCAAGAGGATTTTCAGTCCTCTTGTATTTTGGAAAATAATCTATCGCATAAATGCATGCAAAGTCAGCAAAACTGTCATTTTTGTCAAAACTGTCAAAATTATTTTAGTCATATGGCATGAGTTCTTTTTTCATCAGGCACTTGAAGAATTCAGCCAGGTGATGGCGAAGAACTCCATGCCTGTATGGAAGCCATTCCGAGTCTTTTTCGCCGCCGTTTTTGAGAGATTCTATAAATGAAGTACCACACAGAGCCTACCTCTTAAAGTTATTCGCGCGTAGAATAGCAGCATATAAATTGATGACCCAGCCGGAATATTTCAGCAGATAACCCAACCAGAGAAGATCGATTTTTTCGGATACGCGCCCCCACTCCGAGTTATCCAAAACACCACTATGATGCGGCCAACATATTTGCTTTGAGGCACTGTTCGAGACCTGAGTAAGCGAAACGGACCTCCGGCACTTGGATGTTTGCGGCTTGGTTCCCAGCATCCACTAGGGTTCTGACGTCAGCCACGACCATGACTATATATAGTCGGTTGATTTTTCTCCGGACAATTCTTTAATAAATTTGGAACAATTCCGTTGATTCAAAATCTTATATCGTTAGAGTATTCCCTACACTCTCTTACTACTACAAATGGATCGCAAAGCTATCGCACGAGTAACCCTGATAGCCGCATTGTAAGCGTTGAAATATGCGGCCGGCTTTTGAGAATTATACGGCCGCTCCGATGATGATAGAACGACTCACTTGGCTTTAGATGCTTAGAACGATGCGTTCTTCACAGTACTAATAGTCAGAGGAGATTCTTTTTCTTTGGAGATTCTGATTTGTTTTTTTAAATTATTAACATTACGAAACGTTTAAAATAATTTAATAAAATGATGGGACAATAGCTTCAAACATCTTTGTTTCTAAAAGCGCTAGCTGATCGGACGGTGCAAACTTTGCCACATGGCCGGTGAAGCACCAGCACCGCCCGGGCTTTTGAAAAACAGGTTTATTCCTACGGAAATAGAAGGGAAATAGCACTGGCGCTGCGAAACGAAGGCAACAACCCACTACGCCACCCTATCATTTTCTAGGAACAATGAACTGCAAATAACTTACAAAATCTTATTTTTGCACTAACTTTAGTCAAATTTTTTTTACTTTTCCATAGCAAATGACCCAGTAAAAGTGAAACGAAATGGAAGAAGGAAGAAGAAGGAACACTCAAACAAGTGGAATGAGTGCGGACAAAAAAACTCGTAGGGGTGTTGAACTTTTACTCTTTTTCTCTAAACCTCCAAATTTCCAATCATTTCACATAATAACTCGAAAAGTCAAAAGGTCATTTGAAATAATAGATGAATGAGAAGGAGGAATAAATATTCCTTTCGTTAAAAATATTAAAAATAACGCGTGAAACATGAAAGAAAGAAGGGCTAAGAACGAAGAAATGATTGTGTGAAATAGGTGTGGCAGAAGAGGAAAGCAACAACGGGAGAGCGATGACGTTATTTATCTGAACGGGGAAAGGAAAATGATATTTTTCCAAGGGGCCTCGAAATCGATTTTATTGATGCCCACAATGTAACATAACCACTCCTCCTCGTTTATGTTCTTTTAAACATATTTTAAGTTTCCTCCTTACGGATTCATTTCTCTTTCCTTCTTTCCTTCTTTCCTTCCCTTCAATTCTCCATTTTCCTCCAATCTTGCATTTTTTCGAGGATTCTATGGCTTTTCGTCCTTTATTTTAACTTCACTTACAAATTTACCTTTCCTTATTGCAAGGAACTCAGTTTTTCCCTTTTCTTCCCATCATCCATTCCAAATTTCTATTTGTCACTAACTTCTAACTTCGTTTAAAAGCACTTCGATTTCGATTCCTTCTTGAGCCAAGTAAACTTTTCATCACCAAGAGTGCAGTGCCGGTCCTATGAACTTTTCCCAGACAAATCGTCACCACTTATGCTTCCATTCATTTCTTATATATATCCTTCCGTTTAAAAAATCCTTTTTTTACAAATTTCGCCCACTAAAGTTCCACTCGTCTTTTATCCATTATCGTTTATCCATATGCTTATCGTTTCTTTATGGTAACGAATTTATGGTAATCGCTAACACTCATGACCATATTTACATCCAAAGAACCTCTCCAACGATTCCTATTTTTTTCACCTTTTTAACGATTTTAAGGTCCCAGTGTTGTGGAAATATATTTCTGTTATTTGATTTTATTTGGAAATTATTTAATGCCAAAACTTATTTGACAAAAATATCTGCGAAATTATTTTAAGAAATGAAAACACATAAATAAATTGGTAAACATAAATGAAATTTCATGCTGTTAATTATTCATTTTCCTTATCACTATGAAATATAATGATCTCTTTTTTCTTCAACTCCATTTTTATTAATGGTTTTGCCTCCTTAAAGAGATAAGAATTGAATTGACGATGCTTCATTCGAGATGCTTCATTCATTCCATCATCCAGCTTTGTGATAAATTTGAACTGTTTTATTAGATGAACCGATAAAGATATTATCGAAAAAGATATATGACCAATGCGTCATTCTTAATTTACTTCATTTATATACAACAACGAATTACAAATTTTTCAGTAGAACCATTTAACGAATAATTTCGATCTTAATCATTTGTCTTATATTTCGAATCAGTCTTATCGGTTTATTTTCCTGTGACATTCTTCCAGAGAGTGGCCTTAAGGTCCACATGATTCCATTGTATAATATTCTCCCGACGAAATATTGCCACTATATTTTTTTTTGCTTTTGGAAATTTGCTTTTGGTTGTTGACAAAATACCATTATGTTCCTTGATCAGTTCGCCGACACACTTTCGAAGGTCAAGCTCAAGTTTTCGCCAGATGTCATCACCAGCGTTCTGAGATAAGTTTCCACAATTTTTATTAACTTTTCCCTCTAAACGACTTGACTTTTGTTGCTTCAACTTATAAAGGCTTTTTAAAAAAATTAAAACCTCTTCTTTTGAACTGTTTGGGCCATATAAGAACAAACTTTCATTCGTTCGTGGCATTTCAATTTTTCTATAAATCTTATGAATAGTTTCTTTCGGAATTTTCGATGCACCACGCCGCTGTTCGTTTTGTTTAATAGCTGTATCTAGCGACACATTTACATATATGATCCCAAAATGAAGCCCAAACCTTTTTGCAATCCGTTCAAATGGTCGTCTCATACTTCGCAAATAGAAAATATCGTCCACCAAAACAATTCTGTCGTATTGTTCGTTTGACTCACACCGCTTCCTTAATTCTTCTCGGATCAAATTTTCACACCTTTTCCGTTCCTCTTTGAGGCTAAGCCCACCATTTATACCGTACAAGCCAAGAAGACTTGCGAAATTATCAGATTCTGGCCAGATATAATCCAAGAAACCGTCGTCTCTGAAGATTTCATCGAAAGAAAAAACACTGCAATTCTGATTGCCTAAAACTTCTAATAACCATCTACATAATGCACTTTTCCCCGAGCCAGGGACACCCATTACGAGTACCAATGCCATCGCAACCAATTACGCACCACAACCACCACTTTTCTTTATGGCACCTGCAATGCTTTGGATTTAATCGTTAAACAATGTATTTCTAGCCATATTTCTCTATCAACTTTAATATTCTTCGAGAATATTCGCGCATATGAACAAACATTCAAATGATTGAAACAAGCTACAATTAAAATTAACGATTAAAAGACGCTTTCAGATTAATCAAAAAAATTTATATTCATATATATCCATATATAATTAACCTTTCAAATAAATTTTATAACCTTTATTGAGTATCTTTTCATAAAACAGGATATTTCAGTTTCTTACATGAAATCAAAAATAGAAATAGAGGTGAAAACGATAACCATGATAAAAAGGATAAATAAGACAAAAAAGAACGAGGAGGACAACAACATAAATGAACGAAAATCCATGAAAAAATGTGCTAACTGGATTTTTTATTAACCTGACCGACCTTCGACTGAAAAAAAACATGGATTATTAAAACATGAAATGAAAGATAAAAATTTCACGCAAAATTCTTCGAACGAGAAGTTAGCCAAGTATTCTGATAAAGAAATAGAAGTGAAATATATAAAAATATATAATTAAGATATTAAACCATGTATAAAAAAAACTTACTGTATGTTCCAACTTCAATTTCAGCTGGAAGCTCGGTGACATTTACGTCAAACCTATCCTGAACATCATTCAATATTTTTGCGTCATTTTCATCCGAAACGAAAGTAATTGCAAGACCTTTAGTACCAAATCGACCAGCGCGAGCGACCTAGAAAGATTTCATTTCCCACTTTCTCGGAATTTTAGGTTTTTTAAGAAATAAGTAAGGAAATAAGTATGAACTCGATGCAAATAGGTATCCGAATCTTCCGGCATATCGTAGTTAAAAACAATATTAACACGTTCAATATCCATTCCACGGCCAAATAAATTCGTTGCAACAAGAATACGTTTCTAAAAGTTGGCAATTAAGAAAAAGTGACTACAAAGATAAATAAAAAAGAAAACACCAGCCCTATCAAAAATACAACCTGAAAATCCTTAAACTGCTGGTACCGCGAAAGTCGTTCCTCTTGCAACATGCCACGATGAATTGCAATACTTGGAAAATTTTGTTCAGACAACAAGGTATGTAAAGCTCCACAACGTTGAACAGAACGAACAAAAATGACAACCTAAATGTAGAAAAAGTTTAAAATTTAAAATAACGCTTTGATTGTTTTACACCTCAGAGGTAGTGACGATGATCCAAAAAATCACCATACTCATTGCAAATTCTTTCATCATCGATGTAAAAACAAATTCTTTGAATTAAATTTAAAAATTAGAAACCTGGTTGAATTCCAGCTGATCAAGAAGTTCAAGTAATTTTTTATTTTTCTCATGCTCTTTTAATTTCACATAATGCTGCTGTAGACCATGCAATGTCAACTTTGCTTCATCATCTACATAGACTTCCATTGGCTAGAAAAATATGGATCGTGTAATATTTACAAAAAAAATGCTCAAACATTACAGATTTACAGATTTTTCGTATTTCTATAATTCAAAACTACTGCCCTTAAGAAGATATAACTGCCTAAGAATATTGGCTGGATCAATGAAACAATTACGCCTCGAATTTAGAGGCTGATTTAGAACGTGAAACCATTTTACACGCTCTGTCTAATGCAGAACAAGCAACACGAATCTATTTCGTCTTGATTCTACAAACCATTGCATTACGACTACAGTTATTGATCACGACAAACTGCAGCGCTTCGCCCGTTCACCCCAGTGCTCATAGACTTTACATCGTACGACGAGTCCCAACTGCTTTTATCTTCTTTTTAATCAACACACTACGGCATGATATCATTGATGGAGTGGTACAAGGACAGGTTTTCAGCCTGCAATAATATAAAATTAATTGGAATGAAAAAATGAATAGAAATCAGTAACTCTAATTCATAAAAGTGGGATACAGATAAAGTGGGAATAAAACTAAAAAAGATCAAAATTAAATTAAATTGAAATGACTAGCAATAATTATTCAAAACAACCACATACCTTGCAAGAAATCCACTCCAGACATTAATCCAGATAAATATAGCGAAGGGAAAATTATAAACAAGGATCAAGAAAAAGGGACAAAACGATGATTCCCCGGGTATTATGGTGGTGATGAATCATGTTGGGAAATTGCAGCTAAGCTTAAAATCAATTGATTGACGATGACAGTGAGCAGTTAGTTCTCGGTCGCAGTTATCCAAATGAAGGTGAACATCGTTGCGCAGCTCAAAATCTTACATCTTGCATAAACTTTTTGCAGACAATTCGAAGTTCCTTTGGCAGTGTCGCGCTGAACATCATCACTTGTTTCTCCTGCGGGGTCATTTTAACAATCTCTTGCACATCTCGTCGCATATCTAAAACAAAGAACTTAGAATTCATTATATTTGGCAGCAATCTGTATAATACTGTATAATCATAATTAGATTAATAATCTAAAATCATTCATCAATTAACTTCAAAATTTGTTAATTTAATTTGTTAAAACTATTTATAATGAATAAACCAGCTGAATAAACGTTCTAAAGAAACTGCTATCTTTAAAATTTTTGAAAGCAAATGGTTTTTACTAGATATGGTAATGTGGCAAAAATATTTTCTTAAGACTAAAAAATTCAGAGAAAAATACCATTGTCGCCAATCATTTTATCGCATTCATCCAGCACAAAATATTTGATATTCCTTAGCTTCAGACTATGCTGACGAGCAAGTTGCGCAATTCGACCTGGCGTACCAACAACTATATGGGGAGTGTTATTCTTCAAAGTTTCTTCATCTTTCTTAATCGGTATGCCGCCAAAGAACACACTTATTTTAATTCCAGGAATATATTTGCTGAATCTTTCATATTCTTTAGAAATTTGAAAAGCCAATTCTCGTGTATGACACATCACCAATACCGATACCTAAATAAATCACTGATCAAAACTGCCAGTAATAACAGTGATTTCACCAAATGCATCAAAAAAAAACCATTTTTCACCACCGCACAGAAAGAATATGAAAGGTTCAAGTATAGATTCAGATACGCTTGTGCTGACCAGATATCTACGTTAAGAAAAGTAAAAAAAAGGAAATAAACTATATGAAAGAAAGCACCAACCTCACCATCTACTGGTTCAAGTTGTTGCAAAGTTGCCAATACAAATACTGCTGTTTTACCCATTCCAGATTTTGCTTGACAAACTATATCCATGCCAAGAATCGCCTGCGGAATGCATTCATGTTGTACTGTAATATCATGAAAATATCAAAAACCAAAATTTGTTACTAAAGATCAATAATCAATGAAGAAAAATTCTTTTCATTTTCATTTTAAAGTAAAAAAGATTTTCAAAACCTTCTGATGGATGTTCAAAGCCACAATCGACGATCGCACGTAGCAGTTCAGGTTTTAACAAAAAATCGCGAAATCCACTACTGTGGATTGATGCATATGTTCCCTTAAAAATATGGCAAATTTGATTTATAATATATAGAAAGATGCACTGGGAACCGAAATTTTGTATTTCAAAAGTTGAAGATAACTTATTACTACCTTAATTTTCTTCTCATTAGGCGCACCATTTTCCGTTTTCGTTGTATCATTGGTCTCATCTTGCTCTTCCTCATAATCTAAAAGTTGATCCTCATCCATTCCAAACAAACTAAGTATTCACTAACCTGAAACACTACAGATGAAAGAAAAAATTCGGTCAACTTACACATACAATTATAGCCAATATGGTATGAAAATCCTGACAATGCGAAACGACACTTCTTCAGTGACATACAATTTCAAAATTTACACTTATTTCACAACTTTTAAATGGGTGGATAAATTTTATAACTGCCTAGATCCTCTACACCCTTTCAAAATCACCACCGTTTTAAAACCACCACTGTTTTTCAAACCTGGTTGGTTTCCTAATTATTCGCAAAACCCGGCACTACTACCAAAACCCTACTCCCTCAAAAATTTGAACTCCAAACTTTGGGCCCGCCAAGCCACTTCATCCCTACTGTTTGCTCCGTATCAAAGCCTTTTCTCAAAATACCGTACCCATATATCAATTATCCATTTCATTTAAGACTAATAAAAATTTAAATAAGGCAAATCTAACAGCACAATATTTGCGTGTAAGATAGCGCAACATTTAAAAATACATGGCATGCCAGTAGTTCATCTACTGATATTGTTTATATTGTTTTTGTTGAGCTGTTGAAAATGATAAAAGAATGTTGTTCTATCGTGCATGAATCTATTGAATATTGTAAACGGGACGAATGTGACGAGACGCGTGTGATGCATGAGATGTCTGTCTGCGACAGATAGTGTGAATTTTAAATTAGAACTTAAAATTTAACTGGTTGAAAGTTAATGTCTAATTATTAATGGATGGAGAGGTGCAACATTCGAATGCATTTTTGCGCATCTTGTTTGATAGCTGAGCCGCAGGATCCGAAGAAAACAAGGAAAAACTGAGCGTTAGCAGAATATCAGTACACGCTTGCGCAATTTGCGGTCAGCAGGCTATTTTTGCCTGATATTTGCTTAAAGTTTGCTTTTTCAATCCGAGAACTTTTGCGAAGCGAGGCTTACAATATGCTGTGAAATAGAAACACCACGTATTTATAGAGAACAGCAGGCAAATCTGTAAAAGATTATTGTAAATTCCATTAAAAGAAAGAAATAACAGGCGAAGCGTTGATAATTCCTCAAAAATCTGCACTCTAATATTAGAAAAATTTCGTATAAATCCAGTGATGGTGATTACAGACTAAGTGATTAGAGGAGTTTGCTTAAGAATTGTATGACGAATAAAGAAGAATAAAGATTTGAATTTTAAAGTATGTTCTGCAAATGGGTTTTAATAATTTCAAACCATACATTATATTTCAATCAGTTTTCAAATTTAGGCTTAAATTTAGGAATCACACACAACACTTGCAATAGCCTAAGTTAACTTAATTATTATAAATAACTATAAATTAAATAAATTTGTCATCAATTCTTATTATTTTAACTGTTATTAATAGAAGCACATGGCGTTTGCGCCCTGCTAGGCTGCTTTTCAATAAATAAATAAATATTTTATATCTCTGGCTTGTCTGCTGTTAATTCTACAGTTTAAATTTTTTTCTAACAGGTTGCTCCATTGCTAATTTGGTTTGCTCTATTGGCGGCTAAGGCATAACATTTGCGAGCCTCCTTATTTCATGAATAATGGAAAGGATACAGCCTTGACGGACACCAGTCTTATTTCGAAGGGGTCTGTTAATTCCCTATATACACAGGCCTAAGCTAATAAAATGCCTAAGTAAGCTAATAAAATGCCTTTCAAATAATCTCTAGAATACCGTCGCATTCCATTACCCTTCAAAGCGCCGTTCTATCAATTGAATCGAAGAAGGTTGTAGATATTTGAAGCGATATTCCAACACTCTTAATGTAAACATCTGGTCAACACAACCGTTCCCAGGCCTGAATCCAGCTTGATTAGGACGCATCTTGATGTCCCATACTGCCATAAGTGAATAGAAGTGAAGTAAAAATTTTCCCTAAGTCTATGTCAATTCGGTAATTGCCATTATATGTTCTTCATTTTTCTTGGGAATTAAGAGCAGAATTGCTTTGCTTCAGTCATCTGGTATTATTTCTTTTTTCTATACTAGAGAGTATATTTGTTGAAAGTGTGTTATGAAGGGGTGATGGACAACATTTGAACCTGAAGACCATCTTTTCTGGGAGTTTTTTGCCCTTAAGCTTCTGGATAACGGAAATTATTCCCTCCTCTGCAAGCACTTACAAACATATGGCTCGACGAACAAATCAGCTGTATCCGGAACAACAGAACATGGTGCATTGTTGTTAAGTTTGACCTCCTCAAAGAATCTCTTCTATCTTAGAGGCAATCTTTAATAGCCTTAATAGACACACCACTGTTATCATTTCATTGATTTATTCTATAGCTATTGCTTTAATCAAGAAGGCGGAACAGTTTCCTGTAAATCGTCTAATCGAATCTCCTCTCCATTTTCAAAACCAAATCATTCCAAAGGGCAGTTTAAGACACATGCTATCGGAAATTGTTAAATCTCCGATAATTTCGAGAAAATTTTTTCACGTATTTTCAGTAATTAGTATAGTAATTCGATATACAATATTAATGATGCTTATCACTTGTAATGTGCAATGTTTCAGTCCAAAGTTCGATTATTCATAATCATGTCCAAGATTATATTTCTTCATTTGTTAATGCAGATTCTTACTGCTTATTTATCTTTCATTCTGGTGATACTTATTATGATAAACGTGGCCCGCGTTTGGCCCATTGTAACTTCGCCCTTGAATTTTTCGTCTCAACTATTTATGCAGAATATTAAAGAATCAAAATTTGGCGAGACTCGAAATCCCCATTGAGTTTTCAAATCAAAATCGTTTGCGAATTCAAATCCCAGTTTTAAATTGAAATAAACTTATTGCAAACAGAAATTTGCAGAAAAAAATTTAGAAATATTGAATAATTTTCATGCTGTGCAAACAAAATAAAATTTTAATAACTTCAAAAATAAAACAGGAATTTCACTAGAAAAGTTGGTTAAATCAGAGTTTTTGAAAATATTTTAAAAAATATTTATAATTGAAGGACAATTTAAGTCTTGGAAAGACTGGAATGTGAAATGTTTCAGTATTCGATGCATTAGCCGTTGGACCTTAGATATGTAATATCACCGATTTTCATAGAGAGAAATAGTCAGGGTACACTTCCAATTTTGGACCAAATTTTTATGAATGGTCATTAAAGGAATAAGAAATAAGGAAAAAAATATTTAGGAATATTTTCTTCTTCTAAACGTTGCCATTTGAGGCAGCATTGGAAAGAGTGGTGAGTAGTACACCAGTGGTAGACGTAGAACTGTGGATTGAGGCACATGGAACAGCATATGAAAATAGAATCGTACGGAGGGGTATGGAGAAGTATCACTAGAGATGACATAAGGGTTTGAGGATTGAGGAAGATGTCTGAGCATGAAGGTGATGGTTCCAGGAAAGTGCCGTAGGAGTGGCAAGGGTTTAAACTAGTGAGGTATGAATTATGGGTTTAAGAGGTGGTGGCACTATGCAGTAATTTAATCCATAAAAAACTGATGTGGGTAAATGTGCTCAGGTATGGACGTTTCGATTCCATTCACAAATTTCTCTGTATTAATCTAAATGGTGCATGCCAACCGTTTATTCTCTGTGAAATCTTAAATTTGCATTTTTTATGGGATCATCTATTTTAGACTGCTTCTGAACCCTTTTTTCATTTCCTTTCTTCATTCCCTTCCCTAAAAGGTCAAAGTTGACTGGTTTCAAATTTAAGAATAAAGATAAAAATTTTGTTATTTTCAACCAGTTTTTTAAAATAAGCCAAAAATAATGAAGAAGATAATAAAATAAAGATAATAAAAAGGAACCGAAGTCAATAAGTGATAAATTTAAAAATCTTTAATTTAAAAAGAATAAATCTTTTTTCATCAAATTTTCATTTTTTAACGAATCTTCTTGGTTTCAAGTGAATGTAAATCCGAGAGTTCTATAAGTCCTATAAACTTTTTCAATGGCAAGGGCATAAGCAGCTGTACGAAAATCATGTCCAAGATTATATTTCTTCGCATTAGCAATTATATAATTGCCTAAAAAAGTTTGATATTATTAAGCATTAATTTGTAAATATTTGCTTTAATTACTAGTTAGCAAATAGACGAACCGGATCTTTGCATTGTATATTCTAATCCGGAATGGACAATATCCTTTTCAGATGCACCAGCGATACGGTCTTTAAATGCAGCCGTTGGCTCAATCTTAACAGTCTGGTTTAACGATTTTTTCAAAGATTCCTGAACACTATCTGAAAAGTAATGATTAAAATGTGCGAAAATTTAAATTTAAAAATAAATTAAAAAATAGTATGGAAAATTATTTTAAAAACCATCATAAAACGAGCTATTAAAAAGAACAAAGGGAATTAGAAGTACCAAGAAGGTGGTAGTTGGAATCTTTTTCATATTTAAACGTAAGACGACCATAGCTGACATGATTCAAATTTTTTAACCATTCGAAATAAGAGACAGTTACACCACCACTATTGATGAATAAATCCGGGATAATCAAGCAATCGCCACGTTCTAGTAAAATTTTATCAGCTGCAGGCGTTGTCGGTCCATTTGCTGCTTCAGCTACGATCTAAGAAAAAAGGATCAGAAATAATCAGAAAATGATTTTAAACATATGGTCATAAATTTGAAAAAATTTAAATAACTAGAAGCGACTATTACTTTGGCCTTGATCCGAGCAGCATTATTTTTATGAATGGCCTTTTCACAAGCAGCTGGTACAAGAATATCACATTTTTCAAAAATTAAATCTGTGAATGGCTCAAATATTTTCGCTTTCGGAAAATTCTGAAAATGTTAAATTATAACAAAGAAAAAATGAATAGGAAAAAAACTTATCAAGAAATATCACACTCGAATACTTCCATTTCTGATAGTCCAATCTTCAAGTTCTTTCGGATGGATACCATCTGGATTTATGATTGCACAATCCCATTCTTGTACACCAATACATTTCGCCCCAGCTCGATGAAAGTATCGCATTGTATGCAATCCTACATTACCAAAACCCTACAAAAATTGAGCACAAATTTGATACTTACAAGAATTATCGAATTTTATATATCTTTATGAGGTAAAAAACAAATAAACCACCTGAATTATGAAACTTTTGCCTTTGAAACCAGTTGTAAGTCCGACTTTTGACATATATTCTTCATTGTCAATGAAGACCTCAAGTCCCTTCCATACACCACGTCCAGTTGCAGATGTACGTCCATGAATACCTGATATAACAAATAATTAATTAAAGTGTAAAAAAATTTCGTTTGTCTTTTCCCAAAGTTTTGCATATAAAAAAATTTCACCTCCAGCAACAATTGGCTTTCCAGTAATGCAAGCAGAAGCATCATTTTGTAAATGTCCCACAGTTTGTGCATAAGTATCGGCGATCCAAGCCATTTCACGCTCGCCTGTACCCATATCAGGTGCTGGAACATCAACTCCTGGACCTAGGAAACCTTTTTTGCCGAATTCAATAGCTATGCGACGGGTAATTTTCTCGATTTCATAATCAGTGTATTTACGGGGATCGATTTTTACCCCTCCTAAAATATAAAAAACATGTTTCAAAAGTCCCATATATCGAAAAGACGTAAAAGTTGTCAAGAACCAATAAAAAAATTTTTAAGAATGGAGAAAATATGGAGAGAATGAAGAGCAAAAATTTGACTGTTAAATCATAAAAATTAAAGTCAACACTAAGAAGAATCAAAATTCAGTTTTCTTGACAAAAATAGATTTAACCTTTAGCTCCACCAAAAGGTACATCAACAACAGAACATTTATAGGTCATTAGAGCCGATAAGGCTTTAACTTCATCCTCACAAACATCCATCGAATAACGAATACCGCCTTTTGTTGGAGTACGATGTTCACTATGCTGTGACCTCCATGCTTCGATAATTTCGTATTCGCCATTATCACGTCGAATAGGAAACGTTATATAAAGTATCTGTTAATTTATAGTTTTCTGCTAATTTATGGTTTGTAAGACTCTATAAAACAAATTTTGGAAAGTCAAAAACACGGTAGAAGAAACGTTCATTCTTTATTTCACAAAATACCTGATATTATATTATCAGTTATATAAATAAGTTAAAAACTTTTCGTGGTATTTATCTTTGGTACTACTGGCAGCCTCAATATTTCAAAATCTGGCCATCAAATCAGTTTTTCTCCCATTATTTTCTTATAATTTATAATAACTTTTATTATCTTCTTCACATTTGTATTCTTTACAATAAAAAAATGTAAGGCCTAACGATTGGAAATGTCTTTTAATGGATTTCTTGAATAAGGGGAAAATATAAGGAGTTTCCAAAAAAGACCTTGTTGACTGGCTTCATTGCCGACAAAATACCACGGACAAGGTTTTTCTTGTCATTTTGGTTCATGTTTGGTGATTTAATTTCGTCGATCAATCTTGGAGCAAGGACTGATGAACCTTTATCAAAATAATAATCAACCATCTGCAAAAAATAAGCATTTTGTGTTCGATAGCCTTGAACGATATGACAAATTTCTGTTTGTTATCATTTATCATACGATAATAATAATTCGAAAAACTCGTCACATCTAATCCATTAAATCCATTAATTTCTTTCAAAATGTAAATAATAAGTTAAAATTTTATTTGCATTACTTTTAAAATAAAATAAACTTATAATTCAAATATGCAAAATTTAAAGAATTAGTCCGATTAGATTTCGTGCAAAAGTTTAAGCAAAAACCCACCCGAAAAATCTGAATTAAAAGTTAAAGGAAAACTAACCTTGAAGAAAGATGGATTAACTTGTTCATCCATTGGTAAATGTTGATCGGCTAATTTTTCCGTATCGCTCATCGATATAATACATCGTACTGGCGTTAAAAAAAGTTTCGCATTACGCAATACCGAAAGCATAACTAAAAGATCTTTTTGAAATTTCATTAAATCTGGGCAGAAATCTCACATAATCACCTGCTTTACGTCAAAACTGCTTAATGCAGACACAACAACTCGTACGAGTTTCTAGAGTTTCTCTAGAGTCGTATGATTTTTGCTCACTAAAGATGGCCAAACAATAATGACGGAATAGTTCTTCCACAAAAACCGATCAATAAATGATTAGATTAATTGTAAAAGAATATTCGCCATAGAACATTACCACAGGAATCAGTTGCAAAGCGTGTGAGGTCAGTGGAGTAATTGGAGTCACGTAGAAAAAAAAACGTAGGCGACAGCGAAACGAAAATACGACATCACCCCAAAGTGAAGTCACGCCGTTTCAGCTCGAAGATCAAAAGTCACTTGTTTCTTGATCCACAGAACTTTGATCATTTAATTCAATTAAAACATTGTAAACTGAATATAAATGTGAAATATGAAACGAAGCATGACGCTACTGGCCACTGAATAATGATAGAAGCTTGGCTCGTACAGTGGTCGACGGTAAAAATATCATTAAGTTTAAAAAAAAAATCCGAATGGCTTTCCACTTTTATCCCTGCCCTGGCATCCCTTCCTACAATGTTAGTAAACAGCACAGCTAGCCCAGTCTGCAACTTATAGCGCGGCACTGAACCAGAATATCTTCAAAAAAAGGAGTAAGGAACAATAAAATGGATTTAGTTAAGTCAAGATAAAGAATTTAATCAATGCAAGAAAAATAAAGGAAAAAGAAAAATTTGAGGTTGGTTTTAAGCAGTTAGCACAACCTCAGATCAGAATGAAATTTTTTTAAAAAATATATAGGATTATGTTGGTTTTGCCAGATCCATACACCATTCACCATTGAGTTCTAGGTTCCACTTTCCACTAAATCTAAACTTAGATTGATCTGTCGAGATATCTAGCTCTATTTATGCTGATGTTTTAAGCCGCCTCTGGGGTTTGTTCCTAATGTCCTTCTGAACTGTTCATATACTGCCTAATATGGCCTTCTAGCTTAATGGCTATGACGCCTGATATCTTCCAAATTGTGGGAAGGCAGGTTATATTAGGTCTGTTGTTGGACGGTGTTTTCTTCCCTTACGAGAGCCTTGCATGATCCTTTGTGCTAACCAGTCTGAATAAGAATATATCTGAAGCAAATACTTGGTTTATATGTGTCGCTAAGCGTTTTTGAACTGCTATTAAATTCTTTAGTAGATGTGGATCATACCCGAATCAAGTACTGTTCAATCATGAACGGCTGGATGTCTAATGGAACTGGCTCCTGCTCTGAGAGATTGTTGAAACCTGCTCTCAGACTTGTCTGCACATTGCACTGGTGTTCATCAATTACCTAGTCTATCTAGATTACCTAGTCTTGTCTGTGTGTGGTGTGGTTCTGGCAGCTCTTGAAATGCCAGATTATCCTCTTTCCTAGACATCTAAAATTCTTCCAGTAATCTACTTATCATCCGATGGCCCTCGCTGAAGAAATACAGATTGGATAAGAAATTCGAAAAAGATCTCCCTTCAAGAAAGAAAGAAAGGAATAAGAAAGAATCTCCGTTTTTGATTTTTGTTTCATCTGGCTGAGTTTCAGTGTTCTGCTCACATTTGAAGCAATTAAAATGAAATTTTCAATAGAATATTCGATTTCAAGCCATAGTCTCATTCTCAATATGAGTCCTACTTTTTTTTTCTGCGGTACTCCCCATTTCTGGTTTAGTTGGCACCGTTGACGGACTTGTAGAGTGAAGATGTTTCATTAGAGATTTTGAGGCTTAGGAATAGAAGCGAATCATGCCATGCCCTAACCAGAGAAGGTGACGCTCTGTGATGGTACTATTAATGCACATGCTTGATCGAAGGGACAGAATCGAACCATGTCATGAAACTTGAAATAATTTAAGCAACACTACGCTCACTATACGTTGTTCTATAAAAATTCTATGAAAATTTTATTTGATTTATAAGCAAATAAATCAAGAAATTCATGGAATTGGTCTAGCTTTGTTATTGCAAAGTTCGTCGCATCGTCTATGCTTTCATTTCATCCACCACGAGAAAGGCATAAGCAAATAATTCATGTTTCGATTGAAATATGAACGATAAGCGCATAAATGCTTTATAACTAGAGCGATATGTTGACGAATAAGTCAGTAAATGGTATATTATTTTCGATTAGGCTAGCTTCGATGGCTGTATGGCTGTTGAAAACTTTTGCCACGGCTAGGCAGCATCATCGCGAATTTTTCGTCTAACAATGTGCTAAAGAATTTACGATTGAAGAAATTCAATATATTAATGAATATATTAATGAAAATAAAAATAAAAACTTAATGAAAACTTAACCAACCAATAGCCAAAAACTAGCCAAGCTGAAAGAATCTTTAAAGAAATAATGTGAAATAATAATGTATATGTTATCATGATATTTATGTTCTTCGCCACACGACAATAAATAATAGAACCAGTGAAATTTTACTTCTGGACTAATTTTAAACATTTCGAACATTTCGACGTAAAGGAAATCTATAAATCTCCCATGATTGCATCCTTTGCTCAAATACCATCTGCATTAACAGTACCATCATAGAGCGTTACCTTCGCTGGTTCTTTGTCAGCCACCACAGAAGTTTACGCTTATTGCTTGCTAAACCCTGTGATTGATGGTGTTGAAAGCGAGGAGAGTCAATTAAGACCTGGACTGATAGATAAGATTTTGAACGTACAGGTGGAGTAGCGATATATGGACTTAATTAAAGAGGAATGGCTTCTATTATTATCGGAAATGGCATTAGATCAAACTGCCTGGAAGCGCCTTATGCTGTTAGAAGATTTTAATGATTTCAACACTGAGATTGAGTATATGCAATATTTCGACGTTAAGACAGAGTGCAAAACTTTGCTCTTTTGAAAAAGGACAACTTGTCTATGCTTGACATTTTCAGTACTAACGAACTTGAAACTTGAATTCCTGGTGAAATTTTCAAAGAAAAAGTGGTTTACAAGGTAAAAATTCGGAAGCGGCATGCGATTTAGTAACAATATCGTATTTAAAATGAATCAAATGGCCTAAACCTTTTGTTAAGTATATTTGATCTCAAACGAAAGAATATAGGTGGATAATTAGCAGAAAAAACCAAACGCATAATTCCAGAGGATCGTGTCAAAGACCAGTTCGTTGACTTGAACTCGCGCAGGTTCAGCTGCCAGTTAATGTGATAGTAGTATTAAAAAAGGGGAAATATAATATCTTTTGCCATTTTATTTTCTAAATAATATTGTTGATGCACACTTAGCTTAGTGGCAAGATGATTACCTCAAGAATCGAGATTTCGAATGCGGCAGGTGCACCACTTTTCGTTAAAAATACCGTTGAACAGTGAAGACAAAAGAAGGTGGAATAGCTCAGTGGGTTGTTGCCCAGTTTGCATTTACCGAGGATATTTAGCTCATACGTCCGGCAAGATAAAAGAGTAGTTCAAAAATGCGGTTGGTGCTAGCGATTCGTGCTTCTTTTGCTAAGTAACTCGCCAAGCAAAATTTATTTGATCCTGCGAGCCAGCGTAAGCAGCAGTGGAGCGCTCTTAGCAAAAAAAAACTGTTACAATATAAAAATTGTTATTTATTACAATAAACTTGTTGCAGTACTTTCTAGCACGGTATAATTTCAGAAGAGAGTCCGTGACCAAAAGCCATTCAGTGAAACCTCATAAAATGTGGCATTGCACGACTACTACTGCTGCGACCGACCTATAATCCATATTTTTAAAGAAAACATTTCCTGGGATAGAGTACAACCACTTGGCAACACTGGCAGGCGCATCGTCAACTATTAATAATTCTAAATTATAATTTAAAATTTAATTAATTAAGTCGATTACTAATCACATATTTGTAAATTAATTATAAGAAATAAACCGAACAACGATGATCAAAGAAGCATTGAATAAATGCATTTTGATGAATTATCTATCGAATTACAGAACTGAAGCAATTCTCAGCCTTTTCGATTACATTAGACATTTCTGTCCCCTCTACCGCTATTTCTCTATTTTTTTTCACTTAAATACTCTCCTAAAAAAACTTACATTCGATTAAACATGACAAATGTTCAGAATTAGAGGTTCTGTAAAGGAAGAGATAGCTAGATTTCCAGCACCGGGATTTCACTTTTAATAAAGGACACTCGGAGATTGGCGATCGGTGCCATGTCTTCAGCAAACATTTCTCTTCATGCGTGAGAAATATTCTACTTTATAGAGCGAATAGGACAAAAAACTTCAGCACAAAAAATAAAAAATCATTTTTAATGCCAAATGCTCTTAAAACTATTGTAACGTAAATTTAGACTAATGTCAGCAAATATTTTAAAAATAAAGAAAGAAATGGAAAAATTAAATTCGAAATTATTTTTTTCCTGAAAATTTAATGAGAATTTTTACTGAGATTTAAAATAATTAATTATACCGTTAAAGACTAATTTTTTAAACAAATTTCCCCGATTTGTCACCCATGCGAAAGAAATTTGCTATGGGAATAAACTTTCAATTTTCATAATTTGGACTGATAAAGTATAAATGAACTTTAAATATTTTACCTCTAAAATTAGCACGATAAGCCATGGAAAGAAATTACTGGTGAATAAATGGCGAAAGATTCGACTCATAGAGATTGTTTTCCAAAATCATAAAGATAAATTGGATTAATTAAAAAATAATTACTACCTGCGATTTCAAGCGTAAAGGAAAGTAAAAAGTTTTTAAGCCTAATTTATTGGACATTTTAATAGTATGAAAAATCGTTGCATGGCAATATGAACACTAAACTATAATTGCTTAGAATTTATTCGTGCTGCATCAGGCTCATAAATGAAAAAAGCTTTTACCATTCACTAGTTAGGCTGGTGGTGCCAGTATTGCTAAGAATTTCTACCAGGAATTTTGACGATAGAAGTATAAATGGCGTCAGGATCTTTTAATGATAGG